ACTTATACACTGATTTTGATCAGTTCCAGAGAGTTAAAGGATTGACATGATAATAATAATAAGGGACAATGAGGAACAAAGATATATTACTTATATCTTGACAAACACACTGTCAGACATTGTGGCTTGTGGCTGGAGTTTCCGTTTTATTGAAAAACGTCGATAAATTCGCGATATTGTTAGAATACCGCAATTCCGGCATAAAGGAATAAAATCATTGCTCGCTTTCCCCGAATGCATGCATTAGAATTCCTCTCACTGCAATGAGAGGAATGTGCAGAAATATAAAACAATATCGAGAAATATTCAATACAAAGAGACAAAGTATTATACTTTACAATTGCGCCCCAAATGCTTCTTACAGGTCGAAGCCTGTCTTGTTCTTCAGATATAATATTTGTACGAAAAAGAAAAAATATGCAATATATATTCCCGTGATTACGAACTAGGAGAACGTGAAGCCCTGTGGTGTTTATATTACAAGTAATAAAAAAGGAAAGAAAGCGTTGACAGCGCATAAGTGGCAACGGCCTGAATGTCAATAGCAGCTGGAAAACGAAATGTTGTAGGTACCTTATTATCCTTATGACCGTGCACGTTGTGATGATCCTCGTCGTGCTTCGAGCCGGCACCCTCCTCATGATGTTTGTCACCGCCTGTTCGAATAAAATATCGTATAAATAAAGCTACTGAATTTTTGTCGTTGGTGAGAAACGTTCTCACTTTCGTTTAATAAACCTCTTGATTTATGCGTCAAAAAGGAGATTATTTAGCTTAAGAAACGAAATCAGAGTAAATTAAACCCTTTTCGCTTCTCATTCACGATTCGAGATCATTCGTTATCATCATACTTGCAAATATCGTAGTTTTCAGTCCGCGAGATAAACGAAAAAGAAATATCGGAAAAAATTATGCGGGAAGAACAATTTTGTTGAAGTCTTAAACTTAGATACAGATCTGAAAATAATTTTGTTTGACTATCAAAGTAATTAGGTAGGATATTTAAATATAGTGAACAATGTTGCAAAAAGACATCTTGGCATTTTAGCAATCAGCTTGAGCATTCTACATTATTTTAATGGTTTAATCAAGTTTATTTTCAGATCTGTATCTATAAGCTAAATTTTTAGATACTTTAACAAAACCATATTTTCCATGTAACTATTTGTTTTTTTTCGTTAACAGAAAAGTAATAGTATAAGATGTAAGAACTTTACTGTCAATAGTACTTGAACGTTTGAATATTTTGTCTTCTTAAATAGATTATAAATCAACCGCGCCATATGTACATATCTCACATATATAATATGTATATATTTCAAAAAAATTGTTTGAATTATAATGGTACCAAAAATAAAAATGGATCCGAATCAATTGTTAAAGATTAAATGCTGCAAATGACATATTGAAACAGTACAAATATCGAGTGCGCTTCTAATTCTCTGACACGTACGAATTAGCACGATCGGCGGCAGATCCGTATAATTCACCGTAAGCTTTGCTATTGAATATCTGCTCATCAACGTCATAAACAATTATTTCATTTGCTATCGGATGAAAGAGAATATTACATATATGCGAAAATAAAGACAATCCTGCAAAAAATATTATAATTTGTGCAGCTAAAATTTAGCAATGTTTGCTTTATTCCTTTATATTAAATATTTCATTTATTAAATGATCTTATTTAGTTTCTTTATTATTTTTATTTATATTTTTACAAACAAAATGACAGTTGTAATTCACCTTTATGATCCGTAGCCTCCGCGATTAAATCCTTGGAGTATCTGAATCCAGCTGGAGGTTTGCTGACCTTTCTCATCGCTGGCGTGCTATCGATAAGGAATGTCAGAATCAGCAACAACCATAGTATCCTCAATTCTCCGATGCATAATGTCATTTCGATACTGTTCCGCATAAAATAAGTAAGTTCGAAGAACAAGATGCACTGAGATGCATCTGCAATCGTGACTCCGATTTATTGCGCTGATACTACCTTTCATCGGTCGTTTTTCCTCACCGCCGTCAGCCAGGCGATCATCTTTTTCCTGATGTCTCTGAAAGAACTTTCCTCTTCCGGACGGAAGATAACAGCGCGGAAAAAGGATGCGTTTTCTTACGTTATTATCGCTACTTTCACTCGCCGTACTCATTGTTTGCGATATGAACAAGAACAATAAAACTGTGAGCAAATAATATATTTTGCTCTCGTGTTTGGTTATTAACGTTTCAGATTTTTATTTATTAATGTACTCTTGCTTCAAATAAATTTGTAAATTATTAGCGTAATTTTAATTTATCTAATCTAATTTATACACAATTTTGTTCTATCATTTATATAAATACATATTTGAATTGTAAACGTACTTATATATTTTATTATATCATGTATACTTATACATTTTATACACTGTAGTTTTCTCTCTTTCACTTCTGAAAGGTCGAAAATATATAGAAAACATTGCAAAGGAATAAGCACTTGGCCTTGCGACACTACCGCGTCGCTCGATAAGTACTTACTCCATTCACAATTATACATTTCGTAATGTAAGTGTATTTTACCTATATTTTCTTTAGAAAAAGAAATAAAGGTTATGACTTTTATGAAATCTAATACTTTTTCCTTTTAAAATCAGAAATAAGAAGAGGATATTCTGATCTATACAATAATTAATTAATAAATTTCAAAAAATCAATTCATTAAAGAAATTGTTGTTTAGATGATAACAGAATTAATAAACTCCCTTCCCCGAAAAAAATCCTGGGATACGTCCATAACTGGATATCAAATCCTTAGGATACTGACAATGAGCTACTGAACAAATATCGGTCCAATCGTAACTATGTATTGTACATAGCCAAAAAGACGAAGCCGCCATGTAAACAGTTAATAATTACTGTCCCTCTTCCACTCTTTCTCTCTGAAATATCTATCCCGCCATGATGCAACTCTCGGCTTTCCCTGTTTCATTTTCATCTTTCGCCACTATGGAGAAGCCGATAAGCCACACGAAAGGATATTTTAATACGGTTTCTGCATAATGAATTTATCTGCCGCATAATTAGGATTATTAATGCGCTCTATGTGTGTGCATGCTGGATTGTTCCGCATTAATGGGTTATAACTGTTTCTCTGTATCACAATTTGCTTCGCAACTCAAATGTTTCCCCGACATGATCATTGACTATATCGCACTTATAACGAATCAAATATTTATGTAAATTTTTTATTAATTTTTTTTCATTTTTAGTTATAAAAAATGTAACTTTACTTTTGACCCAGAGTGAATTTTTCGTCACAAAAAATATTTTTTCTCGATAAACATCGACTTATCTAAATGTTACCTATGTAAGTCATTCTGTCAAATTTTATTTTTCTATTATTTTTTTTAAAATATACATTTATTTTAACAATTTCATATTTTATATTTTCTCAGTCAATTTGGAAATTCATTGAATAAACACTTAGACATAACATACAGCATACAAATTTATTTTACGCAATACTATCTCGTCCAGTGACAGATTAAGCATTTTTCCGCCTCTAGGCACAACGCCTAGCCATCCCCAGATGGCTTCATTAATTTATAAATTTGACAAAAGAGAAAATGGATTTAAAAAATGATTTATATCCCTCGCATTAGCTCTGGTAAAAACAATAATCCTTAATAAATAATATAAATATAATACATTTTTAACTGTATATTTAAAATATCAATAAGTTTGATAAAATATGCTCGGTGTAACTGGTGCAAAAACGTTAGATTAACAAATTTAAAATTTATCTCAATTATGTGAAAATTTTCTGTCTTGAAAAGTTTGTCATCCCCTCAAATTTGCCGCTCTAGACAAGTGCCTTGTTTGCCTATGCATTAATCTGTCGATCTGCGTTCTCACCGCACATTGCTCTCTTAAAAATAACGTAACCAAAATACATTCCCTTCGAGACTATTCCATTTTCATCTGAAATCCATTCCGTTTTTCTCTATGCACTATTTAAGAGATACTTCGAAATCGTCATTTAAAGTGGGGGACACTTGATACATACATAAATATGTATGTACACATCTATTATATATCTATCAATAATGATATATAATATTAATAATACACAAAAACTCAATTTTTAAATGGCTCGAATCTGAACATTGCAGGACTTGTAGCGCAGAAATTAGCTATATGAAAAGATTGGTCCCATGGAGACATTTATTCAAAATAATGAGAACTACAATATATTAAAAATATTTAGCCAATTCGACAGAGAGCCAATTTCCATAATAAGGTTAGTGTAGGGTCCTTTGATTTTCTATATAAAAGAAATAATGCAAAAATTATTCTTTCAATTATTATTATTTTTCTTATACCAAATAATTATTTTATTTAAAAAGATGGATATATGGATATATTTATATGGATATATTAATATATATGGACATATTTCGTATATAATTATATACATATATTATGTGTTTTATATATATTTACAATGTTCTTATATGAAAAATTTTTATCGGGGGGGGGAGGGGGATCAAAAAAACTACAATCAAAAGGATATTGAATATTTTCAAAGTAAACTAAAATCACATGCCTGACGGGGTTGTTATTTCAATATACCTGAGGCTATTGAAATATTATGTAATGCATAGGCAATAGGGAATTATCCGGCTTAGCCTCCGCGAGCACCGCGTTGGTGGTTTATTCGTTCTGTTTACTCGTCGACATTCCCTCGTTTCTAGCAAACGTACTCTTATTGCGAGTACAATCCGTTAAACAGCTAACGAGATATCGGTAAGCAAATTAGTCAACAGGCACAGGTGCACTATCATAGGTAACGGCGGCTGTATTACTATTTCCATCGCCATCTGCGCCACCCACAGTAAACAAGGTCTACATTAATACGCGTAATTCGATTTTCATCATCCTCTATATAACCGATGTCAAGTGACACGGAGACTCGCGTAAGAGCAAAAGAACATTTTAAATTGCCTTCTCTTCGAGAGACCATCGTTGAGAAATTCTATATTCTGTCATACGCCATCAATGTGCCGGTGAAGAAATAAATAATTTTGACTGTTTTTGGTGCGCAAGCGATTTAAATGGCATTGAAGGTAATCGTATTGTCGAAGTAAAAAAGTGAATCGAACGCTTCAAAATGAGTGACGTGAAGAACGATAAAGATATAGAAGCTACGGTCCAGGGCACAAACGATTATGTGCTTCACCTTCCACGTCCGCTCACTATTGAAGAAAAGAAATATCTATTGACTGTAGAGAGAGGTGATTTGTCTAACGTGAAGAGGCTTCTACAGCTTGCAAACAAAAACAAGGTAAATATAGAAATTTTAAAGAAAAATTTAAAGATTAAAATGGAAATAAAAAAGAGTTTTGGAATAAATAAGCTCGCTGATTTTACAAAGAAAGAAAAAATGTATATTTTAATATGAAAGACTACCTTTTCCGAAATCCATAACATTTGCTGGAATTAAAGAATAAAATTTTATTTTGTTTAGTTCTATTAAAATTGACCTTTAATTGTAAATGTATCCACGAAATTCTGGAAATAATTCGCGTATAGAATAATAATATAAAGATATACGGGCAAATAAGAGTCGAATTTTTTAAAAAAGAGAACTTATATAAACATTGTTAATAATAGTTAAAATACATTACATAAAAGAATCTATAAATGTCATTACATGCTGACTAATTTAGAACGTTTATCGCGTATAGAAATTATAGCAGCAATTTCGTAGAGTTAAGGTAGGCCGAGATTTCTCGATATGTTTGAATGTTTTAGGTAAAACAGCTAGACGTGAATTGTGTAGATAGTTTGGGTCGTGGTGCTCTCACGCTAGCCATAGAGGCGGAACATTTAGAAATGGTTGAGTTGCTTATTGTGATGGGAGTTGAGACTAAAGATGCTCTGCTTCATGCAATTGATGAAGAATTCGTAGAGGCAGTCGAATTGTTGTTGGAACATGAAGAACTCCTTACGAACCAAATAATTGAAAATTGTGAGTCGAAATTGATTTTCAAGTTACAGTACCTCGCAAATACAGTATCTCGATTGTCGCCATCGTATACGGAAAGAATGGTTTTGTTGAAGTATATAAAAGTTGGACCAGATACAAATCTAAAAACAATTAGATATCTTATACTATTTACATTCCCGGTCAAAAGTTTCAAAACATTTTGAAAAATTGATATTTTTATGTATATACTATAATAATGTATTTTCTAACAATATTTCTTTCAATCCAATAACTGTTTTCTTAAATCTGAAGAATTATTTTTAAAAAACATTGTTAATAAATGTTGAGTAAAAATCTCAAAAATGTCAATTTTAAAAAAATCTTTTCCGACTTTTAGCCTCAAGTGTATTATATAAGACGGTCAAGCTGGTTAATTGGAATATCAAAATCTTATTATTATGCTTGCGCTCCTATGTACATATGTAATTATTTTGATGGTTCAATAAAATTATTATCTACAGATGTGTATAATATTTGCTTAAGTTTTATATACTATAACATAACCGTTCCTTTTGTGTAAAAATGTAATTATAAATGTAAATAAACAATTTTATTAGAAATAAAATTACATTAGAACTTATTTGCATTAAAATTATTATTTATATAAAGATTATGTGTTTCGCGGGTTTTCTCCGTGTGCAAATCCATTCTTGGAATGCCAACGTTTCGTGAACCTTGCGGTCCACTTCATCAGGGAAAGGAGCTCTGATGAAGTAGACTGCAAGGTTCATGAAACGGCATTCCGAGAATGGATCTGAACATGCACGGAGAAAACCCGCGAAACACATAATCTTTGTATAGAAAGCACCCGTGGAGGCCTCAAGAAAATTATTATTTGTTTTTCGTGTGCTTCACACTTTAATTACAGCTGAAAAGGAGATCATACACAGCTGGCAGAAGGTAGATCCAGCATCAGCCAGATATCCGATGGATATGACACCATTGATGCTAGCAGCACAGCGCAATAATTACGAAATTTTGAAACTTCTACTAGATCGAGGAGCTACCTTGCCGATGCCGCATGACGTGAGGTGTGGCTGTGACGATTGTCTTCAGGCAACCATCGGTGAGAGATATTCTGATAAATTTAATTCGTCTCCTAATACAGATTTTAGAAAGTACATAAATTGTCAATAGAAATTGCTGATAGAAGATGTAATATAATTAAAATTATATTACATTCTAATTAGAATTACGATTTAGACGATCCATTACGGCTGTCATCTACTAGAATTTCCGAATATAAGGCTTTAGCAAGTCCAAGTTTAATAGCTCTGAGCTCGACAGATCCCTTAATGACAGCTTTCCAATTAAGTTGGGAACTTAGAGAACTGGCCATATCGGAACCTGAAAGTAGAGCCGAGTACTTAAAACTACGACGACAGGTAGAAAAGTAAGTTTTTTGTTTCGCAGAATGTGATTATACAGAATGTGATTATATTGTATGTAAAATTAAAAGTATCAAATGGTCATAATTGCGTCAGCTCTGGGGAATTAATATTATATTCCTTGAAAAAAAAAGATTCTGAAATTTTTTGACTTTTCAATAAGTCTATCTTTTACATATATACTGATGATGAAACATTTAATTTTTTATTACTTTCTTTATTTTCATATTACCTTATTATACACTTGATTCTTTTAAGAGTACAGAAATGTTGATTCTGTTAGTATTGATCGAGAGTTATAATCGTTCCGAATAGATTCGCTGTCGATTTATTGCAATACGTCCGGACCACCACGGAACTAGATACCATCTTAAATTACGAGCCAGAAGAAGAAAATGCTATACTTAGCAAACAACTGGCTCGCCTGGAGCAAGCTATAGAGTATAAGCAAAAGAGATTCGTCTCGCATTCTCACGTTCAGCAGCTCTTGGCAGCAATCTGGTAAGCCAAGGACTCTATCTCATACAGCACAGATGTTCTAAGGAACGGCCTAAAGATGTCTAGAGAAGATCCTAAGGATTTTTCCAGAACACTTCTTGAATAAAATGTGCTGTATGAGATAGGGATGATTCATGTATAAAAGACATAATTCGTAAAATGAATTTAAAAACACTTTTGAATATCTCATCCTACCCAAAGGTACGAAGGGGTTCCTGGATTTCGAAGAATGTCGACTCTGCAAAGAGTCGGCATTCTTGCAAAAACAGCGGTTCTATTTCCATTTTATTGTATCATGTATTATCTAATGCCGGGATCAAAAACGGGACAGCTTATGCGAAGACCTTTTATGAAATTCTTGGTTCACGCGTCATCTTATTTATTCTTTTTGTGTAAGCTACATTATAGCTTTAAAACTTTATAATTATAAAACAGACAAGACTTGAATCTTGAAAAAATAATATTAGTGCCATTATCTAACCAACAGCTAACATATTACGTATTTGTCTGTAGTTGTACTAATGCTGGTATCGCAGCGTGCAGAAGTGGAAATCGTTAGACTCCTGGGTAGTCAGGAAATGAAGAGAAACCTCGAGGCTTACTTGGCTCGGCAGAGAGGCGCGGCCCCTACCCCTCTTGAAGGTATCGTTGCGCTGTATGTTTTTGGATATATATGGGAAGAGACGAGAGAGGTACGCAGACGACAAACATGTATCTATAATTTCTCCTAAATATGTTTTCTATATATGAAAAGGATGATTTGGCTGAAGTATCTAATAAGGTAGAAATTTAGATACAAATCTGAAAATATTTTTGTTGGACCATTAAAATAATTAAGTAATTCTTTAACTTAAATTGTTTAAAACTTTAGCAAAACCGTACTTCCTGTGCATATTTATCTAGCAATAGGCCGTGACGCATGATTTAACAAATTTCACAGGTTTACATAAACGGTCTGAAGAGCTATTTGCGGGACATGTGGAACTTTATCGACTTTACCAGAAATACACTCTATATGGCAGTCGGCGTCCTTAGACTGGCAGCGTATCTTCAACAGAGCGCAGAGATACGAATGGACCCATCGGCCGCGCTAATATCAAGAGAAAATTGGAGCGATTTCGATCCTCAACTGATAGCGGAGGGTCTCTTTGCGGCTGCAAATGTCTTCAGTGCTTTAAAAATTGTTCATCTTTTCAGCATTAATCCACATCTAGGACCGCTTCAGGTATTGATAACAATACTACTTCACTTTCACTCAATATAGATAGTGTTCTAGGATTAACTCTTTGAGGACGGGAAGTTAATAAAGGAGTTAGTTACGGAAAATGATAGACTCAACAAGGTCTACCATTTTAAATTTCGAATTTTTTATTTCAGAATCAGAATATTTCAAAAAAATCATCTAAAGCCATCAAGTTTCGTGAAAATTGAGCTAGTAGTTTCTGAAATATAACAAGAGCAATTATAATTACTGCTCGTCTTCAAAGAGTTACTCCTGACTGTAATATAATTATTAATAAGTTTTTTATATTGATACTCTTTATATCAAAGTGAATTGCAATTTCTGTTTTAGATATCGTTAGGCAGAATGGTAATCGACATCGTGAAATTCTTTTTTATTTACACTTTAGTGTTATTCGCTTTCGCTTGCGGCTTGAATCAATTGCTGTGGTACTTTGCGGAACTGGAGAGGCAGAAGTGTTACAGTGGAATATCGGATTCCTCGTGGGATGCTGGAAGTGACGCCTGTTTAAGATGGAGAAGGTGAGTAGAATAATCAAATTGCCAGACGAAATGAGAGACGTGTGTTCGTATCTTTCCTTTCAAATTAATCTTCGCCCTAATAATCATGAAAAAAGTAACAGATTGTGTATCGTAAATTATTTATTAAAGCCACAACTCTTGTCACACATATATAATAAATACTTGGTTTTGTGCAGTATATTTGTAAAGCGTGTTATTCTTGAAGAACGAAATGACTGTAATTTTGATTTTGATTTGAAAAAATGAAAATTTAATTTAATTTTCTAATGTATTGTTTTATTTATTTTTATGTATTTACTTTTTTTTAACATAATACAAATGTTCCACAAATATTTTAATTATTCCTCGTGCAAAATTTTTTCAGATTCAGTAATCTGTTCGAATCGTGTCAGAGTCTTTTCTGGGCCAGTTTCGGTATGATTGGCATCGAAAGCTTCGAACTCACTGGTACGTCCACATGTGTAATTTAAAACTATACCTAAAAACATCAACTATAAAAATGAACCTTTTCCTCAAAAATTAATGCCTTGTCATCAGTGAAAGTAACGTACGTTATTATTTTGTAATCAGCAACGTTGTTACTTTCAGGAATCAAGTTATATACTCGATTTTGGGGCTTGTTGATGTTTGGATCGTATTCCGTGATCAACGTGATTGTCCTGCTAAATCTATTGATAGCTATGATGAGTAACAGCTACGCTGTTATCGAGGTAAGGCTTCGACTCGAACGATATTTGTGATGTGAATTAACAATCTCGTCAACAAAAGCATTGTCGCAATAGGAACATTCTGACACGGAGTGGAAATTTGCGAGAACAAAGTTATGGATGAGTTACTTCGAGGACAGCGGAACTCTTCCACCACCTTTCAATATCTTCCCACCACCGAAATTGCTTTTCCGATTGTTCGGCCTGCAGAAGAAACGTATCGCTAGACGTTCTAGTCAACGTCGACGTGCACGCGAATATAAGTAAACTGTCTTTGAAATGCTTGATTTGAAAATAAAATAATAATATAAGGTAAAAGTTTTAAACGCTCAGATGAAAATATTCTTTAGAATTTTGTAGAATTTCATGTCTCATTCCATAATTTTTGAAGAAAAATCATAAAATCTAGAAAAGTTCAAGATACTTATTCAGAAATTTTCATATAAATGTAAATTATAGCAAATTTTTTAAAACATTATGAAATATTATGAAAGAATTTTTTTTACTAGAGCTTAATTAATTTTCATAGTTAATGTTAAATATAACTCTTCAATATTTTAATTATTGTTGTTCTGCAGATGATAGTAGGCTATGATAGCATAATAATGGCGTAAGTTATACACGTTTTCCATCAATTATATAGATACGGTGCAGTCATGAGAGCTTTGATATGGCGTTACGTTGTGAATGCACACAGCAAACACGAAATGGAACCTGTCACCGAAGACGATGTTCACGAACTTAAGTCCGATTTATCATCATGGAGATGCGAACTTCTGGACATCTTGCATAGAAATGGCATGGATCTTGGTGACGTCGACATAAAAGAAAAGAGTAAGCATTTTAGCAAATAACAAACAAGATAAGCTTAACGCAAAATTTTGTTCATCAAGGATTATATTACAATTCATATTGACCATTCTTTTGAAACTAGCTGTACTGGGTAAGAAGATGAAGGTGTGGGAGAGAAGACTCATGAAAGACTTCCAAGTAGCAGGTCCTATAAATCCAGCTGACGTCGATCTTCAAGAAGAGATAGCTCTTCAACAACCTAAAGACGAAAACAACGTTGAGAGATGGAAGAGAATCGCCAGATTAGCCGTATTAACTTCGGCCGAACATCGTTGGAATCAAGTACGATCTTTATTATTTCATTAAAAAACCGATGATAGTCGGTTAAACTTATAAGCTTCTCGTCGTGATTTTTTAAGGTCGTAAAAAATGCAGTTAAAAGCTCTCAAATTGGCAAAAGCTGCAGCAAAGCATCGCTACAGAATCAGCAAAGTTTAAAGAGAGCCATGGAGGAAGCAAAACGTTTGACGCAAAAGAGCCCACTATCGTCAGAAGTGCCGGTTGAATTGCCAGAAACTACCGCAGCGACGATACTACATGTGCTACACGAAATAGTTGACGGCGATAGCGGTGCTAAAACATCAGGACTCGAAATAGACAGAACTCCAAAATCGATTAGAAACGGCATTGGTTCCCAACCGTTGGAATTAATTCTTCAGGTATTAAATCAATAATTAACAGTATATGTAAAAACGTTCGGATGAACGTAAAATAATTCATTAAGTACTTAATAATTTATTAATTTATTAGACAATTTAATAGAGATTCTAAATAATATAAAGGTAAAACGTCATAAGGATGATTTCATCGAGTTCAACGATCTTGACACAGGTTTTAGCAGTCGCTTATTGTTATATTTATTAAAAATTTACTAACAAATGAAGTTAATACCTACTGGAGATCATTCAGGGTCATGACCTTGGCAACATATGTCATTGTTATGGTCATTAAAATCGATAATCGTCTTTAATAGGAAATTTTATCCAAAAATGTTTTATACCATGTTTTAGGCCAAATCTACATCTTCGGTCGATTTCGTTGACGAAAAAAGGACGAAGGCCACTGCACCGTTATTACCACTTCGTTGTTATGACGTTACATATCTTTATTTACTTATATATATATATATATAAACTACATTATAAAATTGTATTAACATTACTCATATTCATCATAAAAACAGAAAATGTTGAAAAATTATATTCCTTTATAAAGAGAGAGTAATACTTAATATTTAATTTAATCATATAACATGCCAGCAAATACCAACTGATACATACACATATAACTGATACGTACATGTATAATAGTATAACTGTTACATACATGTGTTATATCATAGTTATATTGTTGAGTGAGAAATTATAACTAACAATTATATGAGATTACTCTATTTATGATACTTATTGCTAATAGTATTCTGTTATTTCTTCAGGTCAATTATCAACTTCTGCTCAATCCACGGCTACTCAATCTTCGACGTCAACGAGTGCTACTCCCGTTGTTCCTATGATATCCGTTACGGCTGCTGTCGCAACTTCCGCAACCGATACAGCACTTATGACTGCCGTGACTACTGCTACAATAATTACGCCCGTCACTATGAAGACTGCAAATACTTATGCCAAGCCCATCACTATTACCACTAATACTATTACTGCTGCTACTACTTCTACCACTACTACCACTACTACTGCTACCAAACTTGTTGCTACTTCTACTACTACTACTGCAAAATCCACCGTTACTGCTACCATTTCTGTTGCTACAAGGACTTCTTCTAGCTCTCCTATAGAAAATCAAAGTAAATCCACTATCGCATCTATGGATGTACCTTCAATCAACACTAAAGACGGAAGCAGTTCGATCAGAGCACGGCCGAAAGTTTCACATAGTCCTAAACTTTCGATTATCCCGTCGTTAACAGTTACCTCAAGCTCAGACAGTAGTAAAGATGATGATCGAGAGAAACTCGTAAGTATTACATCGCGCAGTAAATCATCGAGAGAAGGATGGCTTTAAACCAAGGAGTAATCATTTCGAAAGAGACAGCAATAAGATTCTCATAATTAGAGTTGATATGAAAATCCATGTTTTGTAACATTTTGTGTCAAAAATTTAGAAACATTATCCCACATCTTTCTCGAAATTTTAAAATCATAATACGAGGAATTACTTCTAGAGAGAATTGTAAAAGCATTTTCATTAAATTATTTTATTTAAAAAGATACAGATATATTATAAACATTCTTACATATTTGTCGATATTTGTATTTGTAAAGAGAAATAAAGGAACAGAACTTACATAGATAAAGTACTGTATATATTTATTCTCTCGTCTATGAATACATTCTATCCCTGTGTACGGCGCTACTAATTGCATGCTTATGACAAGTTCGTAGATGTAATACAATTGTATGATAATTATATGATAATTAACATGGGCGTTATCCTATTATAACTGCGATTCATATGAATAAGTGTTCAATGTATTTCAATTGACAAATAATACGAGTCTAAAAGGATATCTATAAAAGACCAGGATGTTTGTGTTGTCTAAATAACAATTTAAATGCCATAAATATGCAAAATTTATTTAAATTATATTTAAATTCCATAAAAGTAGTCATCTGATTCGAAGACTCAACCGAAGACTCAACTCGTGCAGAGCATTTTGTCAAAATAATGCAATTCAAGCAACTTGCACGACTTTAGTCAGCGGATCCTTCTGCGCTGAATTAATCTTATCGCCTAAGGATAAAGCCATACCTTGGCTCTTGGCTCTGATACGAATATGACCGACCACTGGCGCATCAGGTTTGTTTAGTGGTTTCTCGATGGATAAATTCGCCAACGCATCCTCGCCAAATATCGATTTAGCATACATATTTGCAGCCATAAATCCACATTGTCCTGAAAGAGCCTGTAAAGAAATTACGATTTTTAAAATAGCAATGCTATTTTAATACAAAATTAATCTAATAAAAAATTAAATATACCTTTTCCGGCGTAAGACAACGCATATTTGTGGATTTCAACAAATGTGCAAGATACTCTCTTAAGTCAGACAGAGTCGTATTGACAGAGACTTTATTCTCCCATTCAAATTCGGCCCACATTTGGCGGAATTCCGTGTCAGTGCACGTCGCAGGCACTATATAATCCATAATATCGATATGTATATCGTTAAGAACAACTACGCTTCTGTCAGAGCCTGCTCCTGATACATCGTAAACTGCAAATAAAAAAAGAATAACTATGTAACTTTTATCTTTTGAAACAGCCAACAATTTGTTGCAATTTTTCAATAGTTATACAAATTTCACACTTACCAATATTTCCAAAAATAATTCCGTTCTCCGTAGATGTGACTTTCACATTTGCCTTGATACTAGCGAAATCCCTAGGCGCAAGTACGACGGGTTGCGGTCTCTCCACTAACTTCAAATCGCCCAAAGTAGCCAATTCTAATGTACAATTCTGCAAAGTGTCTTCCGTTTGATTGACTATCAGCACGTCCAGCACGATGTCATATTGATTAACATGCACTAAGGCCTCTGCATAAACTGGATCCGAGAAACCAGTGAGTTGAATGACTTTGCTCAAGGCACTTGGAGTCTCTCCGCTGGTGCCAGGTCGTCCTGCTACAGCCGCGCTAAGACTTTGCTCGAACATATCACCAGCTCCACCAGCCAGATCGGATCCTCGGCTCAATTGCAAGAATTGAATTGCGTCATCGACTTGGACAATACTGCCCGGTTTTTCCTTGGCTTTCTGATTTTGCGAGTCCTCTTCCGCCTTTGCAGTCAACATTCTACCGAGCGCATCGCGACATCCTTCGGTGAAGACCTTCTGTACGAGAGGTGTTGGACAAGCAAGAGATCTGAGGCACAGGGAAACTCTCTCCGCGTCGTCGTGTGTCATTGCTTTGCAGGGAAGACCTGAACGGCCCAATTGCAATACACTGGACATTACAAACATTGCTTCTGCCTGTAATCTATTGCTTTTTTGGATGTTGGTTTCAAGTATCTTATAACGAAGAGCTAATTTTGCCAATGTGGTAGCCAAGGACGCACCAATAAAAAAATCGCCTTCCATCATATATTGCACTAATGCCGGTCGCTTCTCTTCTTTTTTCCCTAAATTCAAACGTATATAATAGCACATAATAGATGCATTCCGTTTTGTGCTTATTTAAAATTGCATTCAAAATTAATATAATAAAATTTTAATGATAGGGCACATTCAAGCCGGACAAAGCAGCTAGCCTGCTCGCCGAACGAATGAATGTGATTGGTTAGATCTATAAGTAACAACCAATCATGTTCATTTGCTTGGCGAGCAGGCTAGCCGCTTCGTCAATTTAAACACGCCCATTCAAAACATTCAAATTTATTTTCTAAAAAAAAAAAAAACTTCATTCTTGAGTAGCAAATGAAGAATATTTTATGTCAAAAAATAAGAGTTACTTACGTGAAGATGCAGCACTGAAAGCACTTTGAGTCGCATAAGTACCATCAGATGTTACGAGTTGCGCAGGTGCAGCCTGCGAATTACCATCTTCGGACTTTTCGCCAGCTTGACGTTTGTTTTCTGCTTCGAGTAACGGCAACTCGCCTAATGCTGCTCGTACACGACTCATCACAGCTTCTATGTCTTCTTTTGATGTGGCATATTCGCCGAGTATCCAAAGTGCGGCTCTGTGTACTTTTACGGATCGTATGTGAGGGAATACCTAATTTATCAAAATCAAAATTAATTTTTGATAGTTTTCCCAACCATTTTTTTATAGTGAATTATTGCATACACACTTCCAACAATTTCTCGATAATCAATGGTCTGAGATTCTCGAATCTTTGAATAGCTTCACGAATAAATACAAGAAGATCCGTAGCTGCTGCTTCGTTGCTTTCCGATAGAAAATCGGTCAAAACAGGAATGACGGTAACAGCAACATCCGCGAATTTCATGGAACATGTATGGAGAGTTCGTATCAAGAGCTGGCGATATCTGCCAGCATCCTCATGCTCTCCACCAGCTGTCCTAAGAACTTCCTTCTTTAAAAGCTGGACCATTTCTTCGATCGTACGAGTTGTAACCAAATCCATGGCTAGAGCTAAGGTTTTTGTCCTGACTTCCAAGGCTGGTGATCCTGTTGAAAATAGATACCAATAATAATAATAACATTGTTGTTAATAATAATATGTAAAAATTTCAAAAAATATCTTGTTATCATTAATATAATACCTAAAACGCGAAGTATATCCATTACAAGATCTTGTAGTACTCTTTCGTATACGGGACTGTCTTTCATCGCAATTAGCCGATCCAGTACGATAAGTTTGACATTGTTGTCACTCTCCTTGACAACCAATTCGATGTAGCAAGAAGCCGCGGCTTTGATTGCGGTTGGCGCACTGGAAAGAGTCACCAGCGTACCGGCTGCTTCGTAACGTACAGCAGCGCTAGGTGAATTTAGCAAACTGTAAATACATCTGATAAAACGTGCTCTTTCCGATGGATTTGCAAGACAAACCTAGAAGAGAAAAATTATATCAACAAATATCAATAGACAAATATATGAACTCGTGCATTAAATATAACGCATTTATTTATACCTTATATATTAATTCAACAATGACCAACTGTAATATATCACCAAAACTCGGGACTTGATCGAGGCACGCAGCTAAATATGCGAGAGCTTTACTCTGATCAGCGTGCAGCAACATCAAGAATGCATTTCTTCTACATGACATATCTTGTTCCCCTTCCAGATACTTTGCAATCAAATCTGGAGCATCCGGTATAAGAAATTCAAAATTTCTGTATATAGTAAAAATAGCGAGCACTGCGTTACGTCTGACATAAGAGTGTCTGTGCTCCAGACAGGCAGTTATTGCCGGCATCAGTGGTTCTAGAAGTTCTGGCTCCTTCAATTTGCACAAAAATCTGCAAATTTAATCCGTAACAAAAATACATATTTTTTGTGACATTGTAAAGAAATATGAGTTCTTAAAAAGTCTAAATTTTTTATTATTAGTTTCATTTTCTTTAAAAATTTTTCAAATTCAATTGTATATTCTTAATCTGTGGTACAGCTAATTGAAAAAACAAATAAAATATTAATTTATTATTTCCAAATCTTGTTAGATTTAAACGCGCACTGATATTTTTCCAGAAAACAGTATCTTTCAACTGAAAAACTTCCCTTTTTCTTTTAACTCTAAATAAATTTTTTGTAAATCTTTATATTATTAATATCATATACAGAAATTTTAAATTTTTCAACTATATAAAAAATTACAATATACTTGAATTCTTAGTATAAATATATAGTACGATAATTAGCTTATATGAATAAAAAACAAAACTTAACAATAAGATTGTAAAACCAAATTATCGCAAATCATTATACTATTTAAAAATTAACAAGTCCCAGGATCATCCCAAATCCATAAATTTTTACAGATTTTTACAGATTTTTAATATATACAGATTTCCAGAATATTAAGAGTTCTTTAATAGATGCCTCTTGAGTATCAAAATTTAATTGTGATATTATTTCAATAGTTTAGCTGCGTTTTTAAGTTCGATACAATTTTGGCGCACAGTTCAAAATGACTACAAATACGATACACACGCGCGCGCGCGCACACGCACATGCACACACACACACACACACACATATATACACCAGGCCTGTCTAATTTGAGCTCCGGAATCAAAATGCAAAGCCATCGACGCAAAAAAATTCAATATAGCTAAGATTTCAGGGACTGTAAAATGTTGATAAGCATCACTCGGATGCGTATCAACATTTTATAGTCCCCAAAATCTTACACTGAATTTTTTGCATCGATGATTGCCATTTTTGGCTCTGGAGTTCAAATTGGACATACCTGATATATACATATATAGTGTATATAAATTCACAATGAATTATTTAAGCATCAAAGATCCGGCTTTAACCGTTATAATCGTTCCTATTTCTTATTGGTTGTGTTCCCACATATATGTTTTAATAAGATTCTTATTGTATATAAAATTTATCGACAAAAAGGCACCAAATTTAATTTAAATTCTGTTATATCTTATGTCAGCATTGATGGTACATATATAATAAAATCTACTGACATAACATGAGAACAAATTGTTAGCAA